CTCCCCTGCCACACAAAACTACAAATTTATGTTTACTCATGTGAAATCACTCGGGTAGTCCAGAACTTCACTTTTTATAGAGGGGCCATTCGCCTCTCAGAGCATCTTTGGCGAGCGAATTTTCAAGGGCACAGCGTATGCCTCTCAAGTATGTGCTGGCACCGCAATAAATGAAAAATTCCAGCATTTATCACCATGGGAACCATAGTAACAGTAACAGGGGAGACCTAAAGTTTGCAAGCCCTTTCAAGGCGTTATTTCTAACGCGGCCCCTAATCGGCCTCTAACACACCAACTAAGGGCCCAAAAAGCTCAGACTCTTTCCACTTTCATATCAGATAGATATAACCGGCGATATCTCTTACCATATCCAGCCCCAAACTCACCATTAGGAAAGTCGCTCCCCAAATCCCTTTTCCTTCACTCTAGACACTCCTCAATTAGGATATTATCCGGACGTATCCCGCCGCGACAGACGCACTCAGAAACAAGCTGCCAAACCGGCTCATTATACCAATCCTCTGACAGTTTTTCAGCCTCCTTTCCACAGTCGTACTCATCGGCCTCACTACCAAACAGATCCCCCAGGAAATCGACCTCCGTAATCCCTCCACCGTACTCTCTAATGGTATCCCAATCGAGGTCTCCTAGGGTTCCGCATCCCGACGGAGCAGCACTATCCAAAACAGCAAGGCCAGAAGGGTCCTCAGTAACTTGACCCATCTCTCTTTCCATCCGATTACCTACCCACTCCCAGCTTGTAATTGCAACAATCTCACTCTCTCTTAAGCTTATATCGCAAAGGCGTAAGAACCCGAACTTCTTCAACGACAGTCTCAGTGGAGCAGAAATTCCTAACGGTGTATTATTGAATAATTCGCCGATTTCTCCTCTCCCATATGAGGCAGTAGACCTATCCTCCAGACCCCGACCCACCATTCGCTTTGCAGTAGCCCCCAAAGTCAGCCCCCAAGGGCCCCAAAACAAGCATATTCCGATCACCGCCATCTGGCGAACAAAACCCCTCCTCTGCCCCTTAGTCCATAGCCCCATGTCCACCTCACCCCCGTTCTTCCCGGGAATATACTCCATCGCGATGGCGGCCGGGAGCTCAGACTTCCAGTACGTATCCGGCACAATGTGGCTCCAAGACATCCAGCTACCCAAGGCGGCTCTAGCGCGCTCCATGGCAGCTATCTCATCAAGAACGTCATTCTGTGATCGGAAGCGCTTCAGAATGAATTTCGTGTTGTAGGTTGGAGCATATGGGACCCTTAGGATTTCCAAAGGGAGAGATCTCCGCTTCATAACTCCTGATGCTTGGACATAGGTTTTGACTAGATCGGGCATGTTTTCTGGCCTCTGACCTGATATTGAGGGAGGGTTCATTCTTGGAGGGGTTGAGAGATTTGTAGACTCCTGGGAGAAACGCTGGATAATTTTTTGGAGCCAAGATTACAGGTGGTGGAGGTGTGTTTGCGGTCAGGGGCAGAAACACTTGGGTGTAGTATAAAAGGGCTACCCTGGCTAATTCCATTAATGCTTAAGGATCGTAGATTCGAGGCTACCATAGATCCCCCCCCCCCAAAAAAAAAAAGAGTAAAGCCGCGAGGTATCCTCTTTCCCTTAATATCATGATACATCATCCTGCAAATAGTTCTCTCTCTCTCAATGACTCTTCCGCTATTGACACCTCAAGAATAAAGAAAAAGAAAGAAAGAAATTTTCCAGAAGTGCCCACACGACCTAACTTTATCTCGATCTCTACTGCCATCACAGAACCAAACCCCCAAATCTCCACCAATCTCATCAGAACCAAATCCCCAAACCCAAACAAGCAACTCCGAAACAAAGGCAGTCATATATAATCACTGGCCCACTAAACTAAACTCAAACAAGAATCCTAGCACACAGTAACCCGATCCAAAAAGTGTCATGGCCAACTTCTCCCTATATATGGTGTGATAAAAAGCAGGGCGAAACCGAATCTCATACACAGCACTACGACATGCGAAAGTGCACCGGTATCATACGGAAATTTTGCTAACCAAGCATCATATAAAATCCTCCCGACAAACCCCCTTTAAAGCTCCAGAAAAAAAATCAGACAAGACCGAGCGTTGGGAAAACCTGACAAAGGGATATTACCTATTATATGATACCTACTCAGCTATGATACTGTACTGTACCTTGTTCAGGCGCGTTGGCACGACCATACACAACATTATACTCTACAGTAGAACCACGCATGTGCTCCCTCGAGTGAGCGGGTGGTCACGGGAAACCCGCGAGCGAGTAATTTAAGTAAGCAAGCAGGCTCAGTAGGCCTGTTTTCAAATGACATAAGCTGATGTTCCAATACCTACGCAAATCACCCCAATGGGTCCCAGAGCAGTGTAACATTCCAAGAGCAGTGGATTGCTCTATGGCTAATGTTTGCGCTTTCCCGTTTTCAAACACACCAGCATATACCCTATTTCAGGTCATTGCTCTGGTATCATACCTTACGTTCGAGCGCTGCTGCAACGGGTGCCTTGATGGGCTCAGGTGGTCCAGGGTCAAGGGAGCACTATCACATCTCGGGGCAAAAGTGCTGTACCTCAGGGCCCGATTACTGGTCAATCAAGGACACTCCTGGGGGAAGGCGGGGGTATGCCGTGCTGTATATCTACAGTGAATTGCACAGGGTACAAGTACCACAAGGATGTAAAGCCTGCTGGGAGGTACAAAGCTTGCTCAAAATATACCACACTCTCAAGTATCTGCTTTCCATTGCGGTATTGTATACTCAGGTCCTATGCATTGCTAATGTAGTCACAAGTTCATTCACCTATGCAACCTGATGTCCCTGCCTATAGCGCAACTCCCTGTGTACAAGAGGCTACACCCTTTGATAAACCCGAACAAAGCCTCTTCAGTATCTGCGCTCCCCTTCCGCTTCCCCCCTCCAACCCCTCGTTCATGTGCGCACGGATACTAATATCAAATACCGAGCACGATACCCCCATCCAACCCCGCTCTCCCGACTTTCCAGCCCACAAGCGCCTCGTTTCATGCGAAAACCCCGCAGAAACGGACCATAATCATCACCCGCCAGCCCCTATTCCACCAGATACACCGAAGGCAGGCAAAAAGTCTGCAGTGCAACCGCACCACAACCAATCACTCGACGCTCTCCACCGAAGAAAACGCAAAACCCCTCCCGCACCCCTCTCACCAAAAAGCCACCGAAAACTCCCCCACCCAACACCCAGAAATGATCGGAACACGCGCCAATCCAGCCCAGCGCTCACCGAAGCTCCACAATCCCGAGAGCTTCCTCCACCTTCCTCTTCCAAACCTCCCCGGGTAGCCACCAACCAACCCCGCAAGGCGCCGACAGAGGGAGAGAGAGAGAGAGAGAGAAATTTTTGATCTAAACCCCATCACGCAATTGGCCGCCGCCGCGATCCCAATCACCATCCACAAGCGCCCATAAAATTCTTCCGCGAGCGCAAGGGCCCATATTCCACCCCGACACCACACCCCAGTGCACCGTGCAGCACCGTACCTTTACGAGCACGGTACAGTACCCGACACCACGCAGTCATCACCAATGGCGGGGGAGGGGGGGGGGAAGCCACATGAGGCCTACCGTACTGTTACGAGTACGAAGCACGAGACGAGCAGTCCGCATACCGTACCAATGGGCGGCGCCTTCGAGTCAAAAAGGTTTTTTTTTTTCGCCGCCAATCCACCTGAGGCGTACGTAGTGATACGGGTAAGATATGGATACGGCCAATCATTGAATTTCCCCCGCCGCCCGATCCTGTGGAGTGTGGGAAGTGTGTGGGAGATGGAAAGAAAGAAAGGAAAGAAAAGAAAGAAAAGAAAGAAAGAAAAAAAGCCACAGATCGAAAAGGGAGGGAAATCAAGATTTTCTGAAACATCGTTTTCTGGTCCACCGATTGGTGGCCTTTCTTCTGGGTACGAATGCCATACAGTGTATTGTAGAAAAAAGGAAAGAAAGAAGAAAAAAAATCGAAGCACTCGGTCGGGTACAACCCGTCGGGCCATGCTCCACCTCCTCCGTCCCATTCACGGAGATGCCGAAACCTAACTCAACTTAATTATTTTTCCTTTTCCCTTTTTTTCCTTCTTCTCAAACCTCCTTCCTTTCCTTTCCTCTCCTTCCTTCCTTCCTTCCAACGAATCTGACATAAGCGATGTTTATCAGTTAGTCATCCATCATAGAATATCACTCGCTCTTCGATCCTAGACGGGAGCTAAAGCGAAACAAGAAAAAAAAACCCCCCTCACATCATCATCATCATCATCATCATCATCATCATCCTTGACTTCCATTCTTATTCATTTATTCATTTATTTTCCCTTTTTTTTTTTTGAAAAAAAACAACCCTCGACCGCATCCCATCCAGTACCGTACCCACCCACCCACCCCCAACCCCACCCGGAGACAGGGGAAAGTTTCGCTTCATTCCTATTTCCGTTTTGATTTCCATGTAATATTATGCATTCTTTCGCGCAGTGTCGCGAAATGTGCGCAACTCCCCCCCCCCCCTTCCCCCACTCCCCCGCTGTCGGGGTTGCGTGCGCAACGCGCGCGCAAGGCATGGAGTAATTCAGGAACAGAAACCCGCGGGGTCGGGTGACGTGATTTCCCCGATCTTCACTAAGTTTTTGGTCCTCCCGCTATTTAACCACATTCTTCGCTCCCCAGCGAAGAGGTATCATAGACAGAAAGAGATCTGCGCGCAGGGCCGAGTGTGATCCTCTTGGGGGGGGGGGAGAGAAGTGCACGACTATTACGATATTGGATGCGATAGGGTGGGATAGGAAAGCATTGAGGCCGCCTTTGGAGCGGGGATTCGCATTTTGGCAGCTCTACCTTTTTGAAATATCCCACCATATCATCCAGTAACCAAGCTGGGATATGAGAGGGGTACCGGTATTCTTATCTTGTGACACAGGTCATACACAGGTGTCGCTCTAGCTATTAATCATGACAAATTTGTTACTATTCCCGGAGTTATTACAATATAATACAGTAATATGTCACACGAGTAATAGCTGGTACAACTTATTATCAATCTTCCTCGTCTCCTTCCTTGACAGCTTGGCTCATGGCAATCCAGTTCTCCATTATCTGGTTGCCAGACCCACTCTTCTGGTTTGGCGAGCCCATCTGCCTTGCAGTGGATGGGGTAGAAGCGGCCGGAGCCCTTCCCGCATTGATGGGCCCACGACGCTTAACGACAAGGCATAGGATCCGGCTGTAGATATTGAATCCTTCAAACTCTGTGCGTAGGGGCAATTTCTTCTTATCCTCCGGCTCGTCCTCGCCATTTGCCGACCAATCAGAGTCCGCATCATCATCCTCGTCACGGATGGTTACGGTCCGCTTCGCAGAAGCACCTATCGCGGTCCTCCGCTGATGTTTCATGGGTGGCTCGAAGGGGTCTGAATCACTATCGTCACCTGAACCCCCTTCCTCCTCTCCATCTCCATCGTCTGTGTCTGGTGGGGGGTCCGGTGGTCCACACTTGCCCCTCCCGCTAGCGGATAAGTTTTTCGTCGTGGTGGCACCCGATGACCCCGATGTCCCCGGTGGAGGGGCTTCCGGGATGCGATCGAGGTTGATTACCCCTCCCCCGTCCGAATCACCTTCCTCCCTTCGATGTTGGGCCCGCACCCTAGCGCCCCCCGTTACTCCACCCAACTCACCACCGCCATCACCAGTGGAATCCCGGAGCATTTTTCGTTTCGTCATTACAGTGTGACGCGTCCCGGAGTTTGTAAGGAATATAGAAACTTCGTAGTCATCTACGATCCTCCAATCGATCAATTAATCACCCCTCATCCAACAACCCCCACGGGAAAAAAAATAAGAACGCGAACCTTCGATAACAACATCGTTAACCGGTTTGGCACTCTTGCCTTTCCCACCGCTCCTACGCTCACGTTCTTCCCTGAGCTTCGGAAATACATGTGGTTTGATCGATTGGAAGATTCGCGGGAGGATATTGTACCGAGGTGAGAGCAGCCAAGCGTGTAGGTCGGCCGGATTGTCGAGGTAAATTCGGACTTCTAGGACTCTGTATTATCATTTTTGCCGAACAGCATCAGCAGTGTTCAAGATGGTTCGGTACCGAACCGACCGACCGGTGCGAACCTTCGAAAATGGGGACGGGGGTGTGTGTGGAAAGGCGGGGTATGTCACACGTGTATTTTGATACGCGGCAGTAGCGGCGGAGAACCGGCATTTTGGGCAGCGTGGTCGATCAGAATCTAATAGGGCGGAAAAGTACGGCGAGGTGAGGTACCGGTATATCGTAGTAAGGTAAGGCAAAAGTGAAGGCGTTATCACGGTTTGGTATGGCAGTCCGCGGATACCGTATCGTAGACGTTCTAAGCAAGTATTATGATATACCGCACCGGTAGCGCCCGCGATGGTGGTGGTGCTGGGGGAGGTTGTAAGAGAGACGTGCAATCCGCTATCGTATCACCAAGAGTCAACAACCCCCGTCCGGCCAAGTTTAACTCCAGGTCGCTTCTCCCCCCTCTCGTCGCGTGGATTCTGCACGTCTTATCGTAACTCCCGCCTTCTCCCGGCCTCTAGATTATAACGACATGGATAACCGGGGAAAGGGGAGCTCGGGGATGGGGTGGATTGTCGGGTCAGACAGGTTTGTGACAAGTTGCCGGTAGAAATCGTCTCAAGATGACAGAGATGAGGTCGGGCCAGACACGCACCCCAACTGTTAATTTTGAGCCTCAATATCTGCACCAGCACCACGTGACATAAGCCACCCCGCGCCGAGTAGGAGAGTACTCGTGCTTCTCAGCCAAGATTTGGCACCCCATTTGTCCTAGTGTGTGGCACAAGTCCTCGTCCGCGGAAGGGGTAAAGCGGTTGCACCCTCAGCGAGATTGCACCCTCAGCGAGATTTGTATAAGTAAGAAAATGCCAAGTCTTTCCTTTTTTGCAGATCGGTCACTGCTAACCTACATGAGATAAACCACTCCACTCTGCCTCAGCTCAACACCACAACCTTACCAACCAAAAATCATTCCTCAAACCTACGTAT